TATATATATATATACGAAAAGATGTCGTTTAGCCATATATTCACTTCTATACAAATTTTTCATATCTCTCGCACTATCTTGGTAAGGAACTTTTGACTTATAAAAAGATTATAATATGTAAAATATACATATATACATGCTCTTTTAAGATCTGAATTAACTATAATTTCGCGTCATTCCAGGTATACTTTGTTTTATAAGTATGGACTCTCTACAGATGAAAACCCAAATAGCTTTGATGACGCTGATGTCAATCCTGTTCAATTGATGGTGAAACTTGCAATGCCCATTCAACATAACCGGTTAGCTCAGTGCTAGGATGTGTTTAGCACCCGTGAGACACAGTGTGTTGTATCTGCCATAATACTGGTGTTAAGAAGACATCTTTCGTCCACTGTCCCTTCATACACTGATCTAGTAAACAAGGTTCATGAGCGTCTAGATAAGGCTGTTGCTAAATTGACGGTCTCTTTCTTAGATCATTACAAACGTCTAGAAATCTTTAATTTATTTAGTTTCAAACAAATGGTCTGAAACTAAGTACTGGTCTTTGCAGGTCCCTGCGTTGGACTCACTTGTAATGGAAGTTGTAGCTCATGCAGCACGAGTCGCTACATAATGGAAGGCCAACGTGCAATATTTGGATTATCTTCAGATTCATGTATATCCAATCTTCCCCTAAAAAGTTCTCTCTCCACAAAGTCTTGAGAGCCAAAAGACCATCCTAAGTTGCTCCTTAAGTTTCAAACTTGTTAACTTCAATACAATAAAAGCTACGCTTTGTGATCACCTAATTTTTGACAATATTTGGATTTTCACCACCTTTTGTTATTGAAATAGTTTTTAATTTTAATCTTGATATTTTAGCTTTTGTTTTACCTTTTATAGGTTTTATTTAAGAAAATTAAAAACCAATAAAAAGATTCACATTTTTAGAATATTAAATTTCCTTCTAATTTGCAAAAGAAAAGAAAATTCACAAAAAAATATATATTTTCCTTTAGTTTTAATAATTTGGTGACTTTTGTAAATGTTCCTTTAATAGTTTTATATTTTTTTTGCTAGACTAAAATAATTGATTAGAGTTTCGATACACAACTTGCACATAAGGGCACGTTTCTTTTCCATGCACTGTTTTTAAAAGGAATCACTTTGTTCTTGTCTTGGAGAATTATTCTTCATTTCACAAAGAAATTCACACGTCAGATGCATATCTATCGATACTATTTTAAAAGGGGTAACCTCAAAAGTTAAAAGTTGAATTATCAAAAAGCCCATTAAAAAAATAAAATATTTTTACAATTTTTTTTTTTGGAGACAACTCGTGCAAGGACTTTTAGAACTGAGCCTCTTTGAAAGTTAGAAGGTTTTTCCTTACAAGATATGATCACTTTGAATATGGGGATAGACCACAATGTCAAAGAAATAAATCAAAATAAAATTAAGTGGCAAAATATTTCGGGTTTTAATTATTTTTTTATACTCACACCTCTTAAGATCATAAAAAAAAATATGATATTTGCATTTTAATATTATAAGATTTTTGGAATATACACGATTCTCAAAAATTATATCAATTTTAATTAAATATTCTATTCTTTTTGCATAGATTCGCACACATATCGAGTGCTATTCAAATAAATTAAATAGATTTTAAATATATAAGTATGATCATATAACTCTATTTTATGGGGAAGATGTTATTGAAAATAATGGTGAAATTCTGAAGAAATTGAACGATCATGATAAAACAAGCATATGCGTTTCTAATGTTAGAATCTCAATTTACAAATATAATATGCCAACAACCTTATGTACTTATATATCTTATTATTGAGTAGAGTGAAATTACACTAAATTTCTTGATTTCTTTCCTAGCTAGGAAATTTTGATAAGAAGAGTCCTGATAATGGCAAAACAAAGAAATATGCATCTTTTGTCTATATATATATANTATATATATATATATATATATGTATATATATATATATATATATATATATATATATATATATATATATATATATATATATATATATTATTATTATAAAAGCATGAATACAATGTCGGTTTACAAAAATAACCTTATAATATTAAGCATAATAACTCATAAGGAAAGGACACAATGGGAAATAATACATATTAGAATAAAGATTTGCAGTAGAATAAGGAATTAACTCATGCTAATAATATGCATGTAGAAGCTAATCAAAAGTTACAAGCATCATTTATCCAAAGAAAAAAAATTATTGGATCACAATTTAAAAGCTATGCATCCTTCATGATTTTTCTCATTCTATAAGAACTTTGACAAATAGACATGTGTTTCGTTAGGCCCTTAATCTCTCTAACCTTTTCTTTGTTTCTTTGCACATTATGTACTCAATTTTGAAAACCTTATAACTACCTAAGAAGAATAAAGAGCAACAGATTAGGAAAAATTACCTAATAAATTATATAACACATGATTGCAGGTTTGATCAAATGGAGTTAAGCTAATTATATTTATTAATTTATATCTATATCTATATTATATTCTTATTAAAAATATGTAGGAAGATTTAATAAAATTAATTTAATAAGAATCCTCCGTATTGGCAACACATTCCCACTCCATAATGTCCAATACCAAGAAAAGATAAAAGTAATGTTAAATTGATTGCATAAAACGTTGAAATTGAGAGAAAAAATATCCCCATAATATATTTTTATATTATATTTGAATTATTTTCCTCCCAAATAATATTTTTTATTATCAATTTTTCGTGGAATATTAAAAAATATACCAATTATTAAACAAAAACTGAGAAAATATTTAAGAATATTTAAGAAAGAGAAAGAAAAATGATTCGTAAGAGTCAATAGCACTAATGATTCTGTACATATAAAGATCTAAAAGTGGAATGTAAGATCGATCTTTTTACTCTTTGAAAATAAATTTTATGGTGGATAAAATTATAATTAAGATTAAATATTCAAAAGAAGAGATGGACTAATATTAAGAATCTAATTAATATAAAATAAATTATTTTTATGTTAAGACCAAATAATTAAATCTTTCAATTAATTATTTAGCAAGAGAACTAAATTCAAATATTTTAAATTCATTATATGATTAAATTATTTTTCAAGTTAAAAAAAATCTTAGGTTACATAAATTTATTCCATAAAAAGAGCGTTAGAGATTAAAAAAACTAGATCACAAAGTAAAAAAGGTTAGTGTAGCATTAAAAATCAAACGAACATACAAGTGTCTGAGGAAGCACAATCAAAGCTAAATCTTGAACAAGAACAAGTTTTCAAGACTGTATATAAAGAATCGACTATGGTATGGCGAGATTATCCTTTGTAGACGCCTCCGGCAGAATCGAAATAATTTTTCTATGTCATGCATTACTTGCAAATATCATATCAAGAGGCATGATAATTTTAGCAATAATAACAAGTGATATACTAACAAGGATTTTATTATGAGGTCACTCACTTTAGACTTGATATACCTCTTCAAACAATTGAAATAACCATCACAAATATAACAACGCAGAGAAATGATGCTAAATTAAAGGAAAAGCATAATTGATAATACGAGATGAAGCGTTTATGGTTAAGTGTCAAATGATCAAAATAATGCCCGGAGTTCTAGAGATATATTAAATATCAATGCACCGTTTGGTGAAAAACTAATGAATTGGAAGGTGGTTTCTGTCAAGTACTACCAGTAGTTCCAAAATCGACGAAAGAGAGTCTGNGGGAACTTTTGACCCTATGAATGATATACCAAGAAAAGAAATAACAAAATATTCTCCCTCATATTTATTTTGTCTCAATTAGTATATTATTCTATTTTGCTCTCATTTCTTAATACGTTATCAGCACGAGGTTCTAACCAACTAAGGTTATCTGCTTCATCCGAATTTTATCTTCTTCCTAAAAGAGGTAGTTAGTTTCTTTTCCGATCAGGTATACATTCCTATGTTTATAATGTTTCTATTAGGATCTTCTTTAACATGCAATTTAATTACCATATGCATAACTTGTTTTGAATATGATTATAATAATTGCATTGGTATGGAAACAATAAGTTCCAATTAAATTGTTATTTCATTATATAAACTATGAAGAAGTTTAATCATACACATAAATAAATAAGTATTAAAATAATTAGACTAATTAAGCCCACGTCCAAATACTCTAACAGAATATGCATTTAGAAGGAATTCTTGAAAAATTTCCAAAAGATTTAAATGTGTATTCAATAAATTTATCACCTAAGTGTACAAACTAATTAATGACTTTAAAATTAACGACTTAACTATTAGATGTATCGTATTGAATGTTGAAACTTGTCAGAATTGATATCATCTAGTTTTATGCCTACTTAGCTTATTGAAACGTATCCTAAGCAGAACAAAATTATAATAGTATATATTAATTCAACTTATTTATTCTATGAAAATATACTTACATATTTAAAGTTTTGGTGGGTAATATTAAACACTAATTTATCATCGCACTGCACATAATTATTTATTTGATAAATATACATTTAGAATATTAATACACGATTATGTACTGCACTGAATTTTTCATTGATAATAATTCTTGTCATTCTAATTCACTTATTTCTATGATAGTTTTCACTATGTCGAATTTGTCAAAGCTTGAATTTATGGCACTTGACATCTCTGGAAATAACTATTTGCCATGGGTACTTGATGCTGAAATTCACCTTGACGCTAAAGGTCTTAGTGACACTATTAAAGAAGGAAATGAAGCATCAAGTCAGGATAAGGCGAAAGCCATGATTTTCCTTCGCCATCATCTTGATGAAGGGTTAAAAAGTGAATATTTAACCTTGAAAGATCCATTTCAATTATGGACTAGTTTAAAGGAACGATATGACCACCTAAAGGCCATAGTATTGCCAAGAGCTCGTTGTGAGTGGATGCACTTACGACTACAAGATTATAAGACCATAAGTGAATATAATTCTGTTGTATATAGAATAATTTCCCAACTAAAATTATGTGGGGAACCTATGAATGATGAGGACATGCTAGAAAAGACTCTTTCCACTTTTCATGCCTCAAATATGGTGTTACAGCAGCAATATCGTGAAAAGGGCTTTAAGAAATATTCTGAGTTAATTTCATGCCTTTTGGTGGCTGAACAACATAATTGCCTTTTAATGAAAAATCATAAAGCCCGCCCCACTGGATCAGCTCCTTTCGAGAAGCGAATCTGGGAATGATTGATCCAAAGTCTGAAAAAAGATAAAATAATTATCGTGGCCGTATAAATATACGTGGACGTGGCAAGGGGAAAAATAACAATCGCCATGGTGGCGGTCGTTATAAACAAGAGAACAATAAGGGTTCTCAGAGTAATCCTTGAAAAGGAAAAGGTAATATTAGCCACCGATGTGGTATGAAAAATCATTGGGCACGAATTTGTCGTATACCTTAACATTTTATCAAACTTTATCAAGCATCTATACAATGGAAACAAAATAAAGTTGAGACTCACTTGACTTTTCAAAATGATGTTGAGGCGGACCCTATGAATAATCATGATAAAGTTGAAGCACCTTGCCTATAAAGATGATATTTTTGAAGGTCTTGTAGATATTACTCATTTAGAAGCTGGAGACTTCTTTGAGCATCATAACTGAAGACTTATTATTGGGAAAAATTATAAGAATAAATGTATTTCTTTTTATGAAGTTCATATTTTGAATAAAACTTTTTATGTTGTTGGTATTTAATTTCATAAATGTAGTTTCTTTTGTTTTTAAAATTTTCAATATTACTCATGATGTTTTTTTTTTCTTGAAGAATATGAAAACTTCCTAGTCTTCAGTTGATCGTACGAATAATAAAGAAGAAATATGTCTTTTGGATAGTGCTACGACGCGCACCATATTAAAAGATTAGAGATGTTTCTCTTATTTAATTATGAAAGAAACCAATATAATTACAATATCTGGTAGTACAAAATTAATTGAGGCTCTGGAAGAGCTCCTGTATTACTACCAGGAGGATCTATATTGGCTGTTAATGATGCATTATATTGTAGTAGGTCTTAAAGAAACTTGTTGAGTTTCAAATATATTCGCCAAATTGGCTATCATATTGAGACTACCAATGAAGGAAAGGCTGAATACCTTTATATTACTGCAACAAAAGCGGAAAAGAAGTATGTGCTTGAAAAGCTTCCCGCATTTTCCTCCGGATTATTCTACACTAATATTAGTGTAGTTGAATCACATGTCATAGTAAACAAGAAGTTTACTAATGATTTTATTATTTGGAATGACCGGTTGGGCCATCCCGGTTATAATATGATGCGTAAAATAATTGAGAATTCACATGGTCATTCATTGAAGAACCAGAAGATTCTTCAAACTAAAGAATTCTCCTGTGCTGCATGTTCTCAAGAAAAACTGATTATTAGACCATCAGTAATTAAATTTGGAGTTGAATCCTCTGTATTTTTGGAACGTATACAGGGTGACATATGTGGGCCCATACATTCTCCATGTGGACCATTCAGATATTATATGGTTTTGATATATGCATCTACAAGATGGTCACATATGTGCTTGTTATCAACCCGCAATTTGGCCTTTGCGAGGTTACTAGCTCAATTAATAAGATTAAGAGCACAGTTTCCAGATTATGCAATTAAGACACTTCGTCTTGATAATGTTGGTGAATTTACGTCCCAGGCCTTTAATGATTATTGCATATCAACTGGGATAACAATTGAGCATCCAGTTGCTTATGTTCATACTCAAAATGGTCTAGCAGAATCATTGATCAAACACCTCCAATTAATTGCTAGACCAATGCTTATGAGAACAAAACTTCCCATTTCAGCATGGGGCCATGCTATTTTGCATGCAGCAGCTCTTGTGCGGATCAGACCTACAAGTTATCATAAAGTCTCCCCAATACAATTGGCTTTTGGTCAGGAGCCAAATATTTCCCATCTTAGAATATTTGGATGTGCGGTATATGTGCCAATTGCTCCACCACAACGTACAAAGATGGGACCCCAAAGAAGATTGGGGATATATGTTGGGTATGAATCTCCTTCTATTATAAAATATTTGGAATCTATGACTGGAGATTTATTTACGACAAGAATTGCTGATTGCCATTTTGATAAATCAGTATACCCAAAATTAAGGGGAGAAAATAAGAAATTGCATAAGGAGATAGATTGGAATGCATTATTACTATCTCATTTAGATCATCGAACAAAGCAATGTGAACATGAGGCTCAAAAGATAATTTATTTGCAAAATATTGCAAATCAACTGCCAGATGCATTCACTAACATACCAAGAAAAGAAATAACAAAATATTCTCCCTCATATTTATTTTGTCTCAATTAGTATATTGTTCTATATGTGCAGTATATGTTTCAATTACTCCACCACAACGTACAAAGATGGGACCCCAAAGAAGATTGGGGATATATGTTGGGTATGAATCTCCTTCTATTATAAAATATTTAGAATCTATGACTAGAGATTTATTTACGGCAAGATTTGCTGATTGCCATTTTGATAAATCAGTATACCCAATATTAGGGGGAGAAAATAAGAAATTGCATAAGGAGATTGATTGGAATGCATTATCACTATCTCATTTAGATCCTCGAACAAAGCAATGTGAACTTGAGGCTCAAAAGATAATTTATTTGCAAAATATTACAAATCAACTGCCAGATGCATTCACTAACCTACCAAGAGTGACTAAATCACATATTCCAGCTGCTAATGCTCCTATTCGAATTGATGTCCCGGTTGGACAATCTATAAATACAAATGAGTCTAAGCCACGCTTGAAACGTGGTAGACCAATGGTCCCAAAGATAAAAATCCTCGAAAGCGAAAAGGAGCAAATGATCTAGGAGATCATAATATGGAGGCAATTGCTCAAAAAGAACCCTGTGACATAACAAATGATAAGACCTCAGAGGAGGTCCAGGTACCTAAAAATAATAAGAAAGAAGAGATCTCAATAACTTATGTCTCTACGGCAAAAAGGTGGAACCGAAATAATATTATTGTCGACAACATTTTTGCTTATAATGTTGCTATTAAAATAATGCAACAAGATGAGGATCTTGAACCAAGATCTGTCGATGAATGTAGACAGAGAAATGATTGGCCGAAATGGAAAGACGCTATCCAGGCAGAATTAGCGTCACTTGAAAAACGCAAAGTATTCGGACGTATAGTCCGAACACCTGAAGGAATAAAGCCAGTGGGATATAAATGGGTTTTTGTGCGAAAACGAAATGATAAAAATGAAGTCGTTAGATATAAAGCACGACTTGTGGCACAAGGATTTTCGCAAAGACCTGGCATTGATTATATGGAGACATATTCTCCTATGGTGGATGCAATCACTTTCAGGTATCTTATAAGTTTGGCAGTCCATGAAAAACTTGATATGCATCTAATGGATGTTGTCACAGCCTATTTGTATGGCACATTAGATAACGAAATTTATATGAAAATCCTCGAAGGGCTTAAAGTTCCTGAAACTAATAAAAAATTTCGGGAAACTTGTTCAATAAAGCTTCAAAAATCCTTATACGGATTGAAATAATCAGGGCGAATGTAGTATAATCGCCCGAGTGAGTATTTCCTAAAAGAAGGGTATAAGAATGATCCAATTTGTCCCTGTGTATTTATAAGAAGGTCTGGATCTGAATTTGTTATAATCACTGTGTATGTTGATGATCTAAATATCATTGGAACTCCTGGGGAACTTCCAAAAGCAGTAGACTGTTTGAAGAAAGAGTTTAAAATGAAAGATCTTGGAAAGACAAAATTTTGTCTTGGTCTACAAATTGAGCATATGAAAGATGGAATTTTTGTCCATCAATCAACTTATACCGAAAAGATCCTAAAGCATTTTTATATGGATAAAGCACATCCATTGAGTACCCCGATGGTTGTGAGATCACTTGATATAAATAAAGATTCATTCTGACCTCATGAAAATGATGGAGAGCTTCTTGGTGATGAAACTCCATATCTTAGTGCAATTGGGGTACTAATGTATTTTGCAAATAATACTCGACCAGATATAACTTTTGCAGTAAGTTTATTAGCAAGAATTTGTTCCTTACCAATAACAAGACACTGGAATGGTGTTAAGCATATTTTTAGATACCTCCGAGGGACTATTGATATGGGATTATTTTATTCTTATGAATCTGATTCACAGTTGATTGGTTATGCAGATGCAGGTTATTTGTCTGACCCACATAAAGCCCTATCTCAAACAGGTTATCTATTTACTTGTGGGTGTACAGCTATTTCATGGCGTTCAACAAAACAAACTTTAGCTACTACATCTTCCAATCATGTAGAGATAATAGCTATTCATGAAGCTAGTCGAGAATGTGTATGGTTGAGATCAGTGACTCAACATATTCAACAATTGTGTGGTCTTTCTTTAAAAACGAAGATTCCAACGATATTGTATGAAGACAATGCTGCTTGCATAGCTCAACTTAAAGGAGGATATATCAAAGGAGACAGAACAAAGCACATTTCACCAAAGTTCTTTTTCACACACGATCTTCAGCAGAATGGTGAGATAAATGTTCAACAAATCCGTTCAAGTGACAATCTAGCAGATTTATTCACTAAGGCATTGACAACATCAACATTTGAGAAGCTGAGACATAAGATTGGAATGCGTCGTGATCACGCCCAACTCTAGTCCTAAAAAGGATAAGCGGTCGCTGCAAATATAATCCGATTTACAAGTCCGGAGTCGAATCCCACAGAGAACTAAGGCTTAGCTATAGTTGTTCAATATCGCTAAGAAATACAAGCCCAAACAATTTCCTAATTATAAAAGATTATAATGTTTATTTTTTTTATCCAATTAACAAACAAATACTAGAAAGTAATAAAACTATCAATTAACAAGGATAAGGGTTGGAGTCGAGATTAAGGAGGTCTAGAGTTATGATTTTCCCACTTGTCGAAATCCTTCCCACTACGTTTTCTATAAATTCGCCTGGTCCACAACCTCGGAACACGATCCCGGCTTAATGTATTGGGCTTTTACTCAGACTTCAAAGCTCCAAATTGATCAATTTAGCTCCAAATTAGCTTTTGAGCTCAGGATCACTTCCTGCAAGGCATAAAACATGTACTAAGTGCAATTCACTATCATTTGAGCTCAAACTCAATTAAAGTGGAGTAAATTAGAGTGT